TTCCCTTTTGTTTTAATAATAAATTGTAGTTTTCTGTCCCTTCCTTGTGCTGAGAAACAAGGGGCCTTGATCACAAATAGTGTGTTTCAAGAGTAAGCTGGCAACGTAACTGTCTAAGAAAGTACATACACATTACCCTCTCGCCCTTCAGACTAGCACCTGAGAACATGATGTTCTGAAAATGCAACATTAATATAAGTCAGAATCTAAAGGGTGAGGTTTCAGCTATGTGTTTCTTGTCTTAAGAGAGGTAACACAGGCATCACTAAAGAATAAGAATCCAAATGAATTACAAAGCCAAATCAAGCAGAGCTTGTTCTACAACTCCGGAGCAGTCTCAAAATCTAAAGCTAAAACCATTTATCAAGAAAATTATGTATGCATAACGCATGATCTCTCCACATCTTGTGTCTGTAGAGACAAGTACCTATTTCACAATACGTTTTCTGAGGTTTAACTTAACGAAGTGTGCAAGTTCAGTGGATGAAAAGTGCTATATAGAAGCGGATGGCATTACTATTCTTCCTAACACATCACCTAATATAATGAATGTATTGTAATTAACCCATTCAGCATACAGCTATCTCCTGTGTGGGGGTAGTCGCTTCCTAAGTTCTATTTCTATAAATAATAGCAAACCCTTTAAACCACGGCGAAAATGTAAATCTTGCCCTCTAAAATTTTCCATCAGTTGCTATTTGCTCATACAAGATATTGTTTCCTTGCAACAATTTAGTTCAACTTGTTTCTTTTTTCTCTATATGAATATGGTGGCACAGTTTTGGAAAATTAAATAAAACCAGAGCAAATTTCTGCAGACTTCACTCAAAGCTTTATAATTCCATACTATTCAACCCTCTAGACAGGGAGTGAAGCAGTGTCAGGAGCTGCTAAATATCCTATGTTAGTGAAAGCAACACCATGGAGAAAAGAAAAGCAACACACCAAAGTAAAACTTTCAGATACAGTTTCAGCGCAGTGAAACTGGTGCTGTTTGCGTTTGCTATGTTTGTGATTTTGCTTGAACTTGTCAAGAAATCACTGTGCTGCACAACACCCTGGGTAACTTAGGCAACATGTTCATGTTCTACATAAACACCTAGTCAAATCAATGCAAATTAGAGTGATCCTCCAGCAAAACATAACTATAGCACGAACCACTGAAAAAACCAACACATCACACAATGCAGCAAGACACCACCCACAACTGCAGCTTGCCTCCAAGGTCAAAGCATTTGTGGAAATAAATGGAGCTAGACAAGGGATAAGAGGGGTGTCTTTTTGCTCTTCTGTACCAAAACACCATCTGAAAACTGCTGGGCTACTGCTCATTACCCTGCATTACATCCTAGGTTAGCATAGCCAGCAGTCACCTCTGCAGCAAAATACTGTGATGCAACAGGGTAGCACTAACTGACACACAACAGCACCACCTGCAAACGTTAGGAGCTCACCACAGGTTGCTGGAAGGGACCTGCTGGACTCACAAAGGCTGGCAACTGCCCTCTGCAACTGGTCATAAACACACCAAGCTCTGTGTTAGAGCTCAGCTCACCCGGCTGTCCCCCACTGCTCCTACTGGGAAACGGTGTCAGACCCTCAGTCTACGCTGCTCAGAAGCCTTCTCATTTCCATGCAAAATGAATTCCTGGCCCCTTTCTTGCCCCTCTCTCCTTGCCTCAACTGCTCTTCTCCCTCCACGTGTTTAACCCCATCAGACATATATGTACGTGTGCCTGCAAACATATATATGTATGTACATGCATGCAGGTATGTAAGTGTGCATGCATATATGTATGGGTACAGATGTATGTATGCATGCATGCATATATCTATGCACACAGGCACACAAATACATAGACATGTATACATGTGTGTGTGTGTGTGTGTGGGGCTATGTTTCGATTCGGTTTTGGCCGTTTTGGAGGACAGCGATTCGTTTTGGTGTTTCAGATTACTGTCCTGTTTCATTTCAGCCGAATCTCATAGTTTCATAGTTGGTAGGGTTGGAAGGGACCTGAGCAAATCATCAAGTCCAACCCCCTGCCATGGGCAGGAAAGAGTACTGGGGTCAAACGACCGCAGCAAGGTGTCTGTCTAGCCTCCTTTTAAGGACCCTCAGGGTAGGAGCGAGCACCACTTCCCTTGGAAGTTGGTTCCAGATCCTAGCCGCCCTGACTGTGAAGTACTGCCTCCTGATATCTATCTCTCCTCTGAATCTGTTTTGGACTGGCTGCAAGGGAAGCTTTGCACAGCCCTACTGCCCAGCCAGGCAGGGCATGGGGCAGGAGGATGCAGAGCCCCAGTGGGGCTGTGGGTGGCTCATATGGGAGAGGGCCGCTGCCCTCCATGTAAACGGGAAGACCCCAGGGCAGATCTCAGATCCCTGTCACGCTGGATCATGGGGCAGGGAAGCAGCACAGAGCAGCGAGCAAACATGCTGGTCTCTGTTGTGCGACCTGGCTCCCCAGGGAGCAGAGATCCATGCTGGGATCCATGCTGGGGTCTTCTCACCACCACTGCCTGCCCCGGATTTCTGCTCCCAGCGGAGCCAGGTCGTGTAGCAAGGACCAGCATTGCCCTGTTGTGTGACCTGGCCATGGGACCTGGCTCCACAGCCCATGCAATGCCGTTGCCCTGAGCCGGGACCCGCCACCCCGCCATTCCTCTCCCCATGTGACCTGGCTCCTGCCATGTGATCTGGTTCCACAGGGAGCAGATATCTGGGCAGGAGGTCTCATTGTTGCTGCTGCTGCCCGCCCTGTGCAGCCCTGCGTCAGCAGGGGCAGTGCAGGGTGGGCAGCGGCGGCAAGAAGACCCCTGGCCCGGATCCCTGCTCCCTGTGGAGCTGAATCGCATGGCAGGGCAGCAGCGTACAGCTGTTTCCCTGCAAACCCGGCTCCGAAATTCTGAAATTTCCCAAAACATTTCCAATGCCTCATTTTGTTTCAGAGCCTTCCATTTCGATTTGGATTTGGTGTTTTGGGTGCTGAAATAGCGTAAAACACCTCCGAAACAAAACAGCTGCTGAAATTTTGCACAGCCCCAACATTATATATATATATATGTGTGTGTACACGTGTGTATATATAACCTGAACAGTGGCGACGCATAGAGGGGACACGTGAGTACACGTGCACCCCCTACAAAAAGGTGCAGCCGACATTGTTGGTGGTGCCTGTGGGCGGTTGCCGCTTGGCACCCCCCCCTTCCCATTGACACCGCCAGCAGCATCTGCGGGCAGTCAGCAATTGCCACTGGCCGCCACCGATGGCATCTGCGCGTGGTCTCTGACCCCTGGTCGGCGCTCGCCATCCCCCTCCTGCCACCCATCTGCAGGAGCTCCCTGGTTACTGCTGCCACGTTCCCGCTGCTGCCATGCCCTCCCAGCCGCTGGGGGCCCGTGTCGTTCATGAACCTGGATACCTGACACACAGAAGATATCGAATTTTAGCCGATTTTAAAAAAATGAAATCCTCATATTTTCTGAAGCAGGAAGCAACGGTGACCACCTGAAACCCGAGATTCTGCTCCTGCCTTTGTTTCAAGGCAATCTGCATCATCACAGATCCTCCCAGGAGGTGAGAGGCTCCACACCAGCTATGAATGCCTGCCCAGAGCAGTTTTCCATCTACTGACTCCTCTGTGAAATCCTCTGAACTTTCTAAAATATATATGAACTTTTTGTAGGGGGTGCATGTACTCCTGCATGTCCCCGCTATGCATCGCCACTGTCCAGGTTATACACACACACACATATATATACACATACACACACACACACATATACACACACATACATATACATGCAAACACACATATACACACATACACATGCACGCACTCACATATACACATACATACACACCCACATATATACATGCACACACACATACACATGCACGCACCCACGTATATATACACATACGTACACACCCACATATTTACATGCACACCCACATATACACACACATGCACACACCCACATACATACACACCCACATACACATACACACACACACTCCCATATATATACACATACATACACATACACACACACATATATACACATACATACACCCACCCCATATACACATACATACACACACACACCCACCCCACATATATATACACATACATACACATGAACACACACCCATCCATACACACACACACACACACACACACATCTATACACACACACACACATCCATATACACATGCATATATGTATTAGGGATGTGCAAAATTTCAAGATCTCTATGAAATCGTACATGAATTTTCATTCCTACCCAGGAGAACGTGTACGCTCTTTTCTCCGATGCCGGATGAAGGGGTTTGTGCCCAAAAGCTTGCAATGAGAGAAATTAAAACAATTTTTTTTGGCAAAAATCTTGTTGGTTGTCTAATAAGACGAGTCCTGATTGCCTTTTCCTCTAGAGTAGTATGGATACAACCTGGATACCTTTGTGTGTGTGTGTGTACACACACACACACATCTACACACATATGTACATATCCACATATATACACACACATACTCACACAAATATATATATGCATGCATGCAGACGGGCACATACACGTGCAGGCAGATCTCTGTGGTGTGCACGTGTCTGCGTACACACACACGTACGTGTGTCACGCACTCTGGTCCACCCCGTCGCTGCCCGATCCGCGCCCCGCCGGTGCAGTCG